GGAAAATCAGTTCCCGAAACCAAACGGGTCAACTAGTCTATGTGATCAGATGAGGCGGCCCTACTACCCAGGTTCCTTCTCATAGCCCTACTACCCAGGCTTCATTTCGAAGTAACCCTACTACCCAGGTTCCTTCTCACAGCCCCACTACCCAGGCTTTATTCTGAAGTAACCCTACTACCCAGGTTTCTTCATAGCCCTACTACCCAGGTTTTATTTCGAAGTATCCCTACTACCCATGTTCCTTCTTATAGCCCTACTACCCAGGCTTTATTTTCGAAGTAACCCTACTACCCAGGCTTTATTTTCGAATTAACCCTGCTACCCAGGTTCCTTCTAACAGCCCTACCACCCAGGCTTTATTCTGAAGCAGCCCTACTACCCAGGCTTTATTCCGAAGTAACCCTACTACCCAAGTTCCTTCTCACAACCCTACTACCCAGGCTTTATTCTGAAGTAACCCTACTACTCGGGTTCCTTCTCATAGCCTTACTAACCAGGATTTATTTCGAAGTAACACTACTACCCAAGTTCCTTCTTATAGCCCTACTACCCAGGCTTTATTTCGAAGTAACCCTAGTACCCAGGTTCCTTCTCACAGCCCTACTACCCAGGCTTTATTTTCGAAGTAACCCTACTACCCAGGTTCCTTCTTATAGCCCCACTATCCAGGCTCCTTTTTATGAATTACCTAACGTAGTTTTACATGGACTTGTCCCGAGAAAGCCCTATACAGGCTCCATCCCTTTTATCTTTGGACAACTGTTTACAACATTGTAAAACCTGGACCCGACCAGATACGGTCGATTTCATATTCCCCAATAAATCTCCGTGAAACCCAGACTCGACCAGATAGCAACGCACTTTTGTCTCATCAATCAAGAGTTAATTCCCCAGTAGAGTAATGGACAACCGAAGCTCCTAGACTCTATTTCCCAGGACATAAATCAACATTCTTCGGCGAAGTCCTCCCTAACAACCGGGACAAGAATTACCACCTAGGAATATCTCATGGAATCATCATTGTTTTGGATGGCATCTCTAAGCCCATCTAGGATGACCCATGTCACATTCTCTGGATGGAATCTTTAAGCCCATCTCCAATGATATTCTGTCATCTTCTCCAAATGGCATTTGTAAGCCCATTCTCGACATCATCAACCATCAGTATTACTCCATGCAAGCGCAAATTTCCGGGCACTCTAGTGTTCAATCATCTTCCACCTTCAGATCACGAAAGGCAGACAAGCCAATCTACATCCTCAGGTATAAGAAGATTGAACAGGGGCAGTTGTTGCACCCTAAAATTTGCTCTCTCATTTTACTCAAAACATACTCCTAGAGGTCCTCAATTGCTCAAGTTGACTAAAGATTGACCAGACAAATCCTCCTCCTAAGACAATGAGCCTCAAACTAGGGTTTCACTCCTCATCAAGATGTTTGAGTTCCAAGGGTCATAAATGGTTTCCATTGCCCTAATATGTCCTCAAGATCATCCATTCCAAGTTTCATGCCTTGCACAAGAAGTTTGCTCAATCAACTGCTCAAATGCCTAAAAATCAACGGTACTAGGTCAAAAGTCAACTGTGACCCACATACAGTCAAACTTCAAGATTTTTTGTCAACATAAACATTTTGAATTTATATCCATCATTTGATCAAGGTTTGATCATGATTCCTCAAGGAATGCTCCTAATCCATCAAAACTCAAAAGTTGCTAAATTAGGGTTCCTATAGGAAAAGTCAACCAAACTTTGACCAGGCATACCTTTCTCATAATTTATTAGAAATTTCTCATCCAAGGCTCATTTTTAAGAGAATCCAATTCCCTACAACTCATTTTCAACCCTCAAGTTCAAGAAATACACTCATGAAAAGATATAAATACAGACATTATAGGTCTTTTTCAAAAGTCAACAAAAACACCTTTTGAATCAAAGCTCCTTACATGAAAATGGAAGATCCAATGGATATGAAGCCAAAAGGGTTGTTTACAGGACATCCTAAGCTTTCTAAAAAGTCCAAGAACACCCTCTTAGGGTGAAAATTGAGAGAGATATGCATTGTCAAAGTTGGCCATTTTTGGAAATTTGCACAAAGTCAACAATGCTCAAAATTGCATTTTTTTCCACATGGGCCCATCTTTTCAAGATTGAATCTCAGTCCTAGTATGGTCCAAGACCTATGGGACCCTCCATGCCTTATTTATTTATTTGTTTATTTAATTTATTTTGATTTTCATTCATTTAAAACTCAAATTAAATCAAATAAATCCAAATAAATCACATAATTTGTTTTAGGAGTGATTTTTGCATTGAATGGAGATCTCATATGTTGTCAATAGCCAAGGAAATCATGCAAGGCCAAATGGACACAAAATATTCACATATGGCAAATTTTCAAGATTTGATTTTTTCTTAAAACCATGCCATTAATCTTTAGATTCTTGCCACAAATATTGTCCTAATCTGATTCACTACATATGCCAATGTATTGTAACCCTAGAACACAAGTTTAGAGTTGCGCAACCTGCCTCTACAGCAAGAACAAAGTTCAAATTTTTTCAAAAAAAGTGCAGAGTCCATTCTCCTTCACAGGACGATTTAAGTCATTCCAAGGATCAAATCACGTTCCTGAACACTCACTGAAGCCATGGCAAGCATTCCCAAAGCCTGAAACCTGCAGAATCGCACCAACCTTCATCACGATTTGCATATTTTCTTAAATTCGATTTCATTGATTTATCCAGCATAAACAAGTTTTAGCTATATATTCATGTTTATTATCATACTTGCAATGATTCTGGATGGTTTAATTTGATGTTTAGTATAGGAATAAGCTTGCGCCATTACTAGGGTTTTGAGGTCCCAAATTGGGAACTCCATATACAGGCCAAATTGAACCATATTAGGGGTGGTACCATATTCAGGAGGTCATGAACAATTGATTCATGCCTTTGGTTCTGATTAATACTGCTTGAATTGTGCTTTAGAGTTTTGCAGGGTTATAGCTATGGACAAAAACTGTCACTATAGCTTTTAGTGACAATTTTGTCCGTATGTAAAGGTCCAGTATCAAAAGCAACAGCCCCATGAAGAAGAAGATCAGGTGGCAGCATCCTATTGGAGGGTTCAAATCCACGCGCATTTTTCTAGACATGCTACTTTGTTTGGCATATGTTTTATTTGTTTATTATATTAACAAATAAGCTTTCCAGCGCAGCTGGTCCAGGCGTTACCCTTTGAGAGGAAGGACCTGGGTTCGATCCCAGGTCTCAAGCTTTTCCTATTTTCTGAGTTATTTCTTGCAGATCCCATGTGTCTCATCATCAAATGTCTAGCATGCGCCCCTGGTCTCAACCATCAAGTCCATCACGTGACCAGATCTAAACGTTTAGCAAAGCAGCGTATGGTGAACCCCCAGAGGAGAGTCCCATTGGATCATGCGTAGACAGAAGGGCCAGCAAGCTTGGGCCTGGAAAATTTCAGCCATGCACCCCCCCAAATTGCTTCCCATATCAGGCCCATTCTATTTTCTTTGGCTTTTAATTTCTTTAACATTTTTATTATTTTATTTATTTTTAATTGTTTTAAAAAATCTTTTTTTTTTAAAATTAAATCTTAAAATCATGAAAAACACAAAAAAACATTAGAATTAGGTTTTTTTCATAAAATATTTAATTTCATTGTTTAATTAGGTTAATTAGGATAATTTAAATTCATTTTTCATTATTAAAATTAATTAGAAATTAGGTTAATTTGCAAAATTAATTACTTTCTCAAAAATCCAAAACAACATTTTTCTTCTAAATCAATTAGATTCGTTAAACTTTAATTCCTCATATTTAATTTCATCACGCGTATTCCTTTCATTATTTTTTCCAATTAATGTAATTTCTCCGAGGTTTGTAATAGTTAAAGTTAGGATATTTACTCCTTTTATTTCCCTAGTTTTGGTTATGTAATTCCCATCCCCCGAAGCCTTGTAATAGTTAGACTCTAAATTTCTCGCACTTTATATTCTTCTTTTAATTAAACTGTTAGATGATTGATAATAGGATTGTATGCGAAAGATAAATCAATGTTTAAAACAGTAGAAAACCCTAAATGTGCAAAGATAAATAAACTGAAATCAAACACTTGCACATGCTCACTCCTAGGGTTTTTCCCCACTTCGGTTGCCTTCGGAAAACGGTCACTATTCTTGAAACGTGAGAATTTTTAGTGGATGTCCTCTAATTCGAAAGATCACTAGTCCCTCGATGACCCTTTCGACGTTGCCTCGGTAAAGAAGTGTTCTTAGAGTTTTAGGACAATTACTAAAAGATCTTACCATGTTGCCTCAAGTAACCGTAATCATCCCTTTCGATTGTCCCTTAAACTCCAATGATGGAGCTACCTCCTCCTTAATAGTAGGATAGCACTATCTAAAGGAAATAATAAAACAAATTGTCCTTTTCAAGTAGGTAGAAACTCTTAAGTACTTGCTCAAAACAATAACTTTTTACACCCTACACTTTCACACTCTTTTCAATTAATGTTTTCAAAAACACTTTATCACACTCTTGAGGACTGATACAAGAGATACCATAAAGTGAATCACCGCACTAAGGCAATTTCAAAACTTTTTTAAGCATACAAACACACAAAAGCAATTTAAAAATGAGCAAGTACCTAAGAGCCCATGGAAAACCATGGATAGAAAGGATGCTAACACCTTCCATTTCTATAATCTACCCCCCGTACTCAGAAACAACTCGAAAAAGGTTTTTTCTGTTCTTTTTCCCTTTTCCTTTGTTGGATAAAATAAAAGACGGTGGCAACTCTTGCTTACCGTACATTTGCAAACAAAAAAATGCAAAACCATTAGTAATAAAAACAGTCAGTTCTGCCACCATATCACACGCACCCACTAATAACATTAAAGGTGTCTTGTCCAACTACAAATTTCAAGGCTATGATTCGATCTCACACTCTTCTTACATCCACAACATCATTCTTTCACTCCTTATCCATAATTATAGATCTAATTTTTCCAGTATACCAAAGCTTAAATCCCGAGTTGTCTAATTCTTTTGCTTTTTTACTTGTCCACCTAGTTTCTTGTAGGCACATAAAATTGATCTTCCTCCTAACCATAACATCCACTATTTCCGTAGATTTTCCAGTGAGTGTGCCTATATTCCATGAACCAGAGTGAATCCCCCTTTCATGAACTTTCTTCTTTACCCATACCCCTTCACAAAAATATGGGAACCCTTGCTTATATTTCACTACATATGGGCGGCGATACAGCGACCCTTACTCATTTGACATTGTACTCGAGCCATACAACATGTTGCTTACGGGTAACGACATAGCATTCACATTATTACTTAGTTGATCCATGTCATAGAGATTCGACAAAGTTTTACGTTGGTTGTCGAAAGCCTAACACAACCCTCTCCTTTTATCCGGGCTTAGGACTGGCTAGGAATATCAAAGCTAACATAGGCAGGATTACCGTGATAAGTGAATAAAAAAACAATATCCCTTAACAATACAAATATAACAACAATGTAAAATCATTTATTCAACAATAACCAACATAATGGAAAAGGCATCTTGTAAAAGAAACACTACGAGTCTGACCCGTCACCAAGATTCACCAACCTACCTTCCATTACTTATTGCTCAGGAGGAATATTTTTCTTGATATTTGCAACCCAGTGTGGAAAAATTCCACTTGCTTCAATTTTTTTCAAAAGAGACATGCAATACATTTTCTACTGATTTCACATACTCTTTAGACATGTCGATATTTTCTTGAAACTCTCCATGCTCTCATTATAAACCTAGAACATATTCATACTTTACCTAAGAGAGAGCAAACCTTGGCACCACTCTGAGCCAGCCAAACTACTGTTAAATGATGAAAACTTATCTATAGGGAGTGAGAAGATCCCCAAAGTAAAAATTACATTTTAAAATTTTTTTAAAAACGAATGAAAAAACTATGGCAAGCGGAAGATTTATCCTAGATCAAACAAGTCGTCTAAACCAATCCAACTATTCGAAACTCAGATATGAATTAGAAACCAAATGGAATGGGAAACAATGATAAGTTATTAATATAATATATTCTCAATTGATCATTTTATTATGAACACGATGTATTCTTATTTCCAATAAAACTATTGATAAATCATAAACTAGCAAATTACCAAACACTTGGTGTGCAATTGATTTTTCAGATTTTCCTTTGAACTTTGATGATATGGAATGCCACTTACAATCTAATTGATTCTAAAGTAATCAACAAATCTATTTCAAGAATAGTAATCAAAGGATTTGTCTATACGTATCGATTACACAATCAAAGAATTTAATAATTTGCTATAGAAAATATATAGAAGTAAATGAGAGAGAGAGAGAGAGGAAACGAGGATTTGTTTAGGAAGTTCACCAATCATCCTTTCTATGGCTACGTCTACCCCCAATTCTTCTTGGAATTGAGATATATAATCATTACTTTGTAAAAAGTTGATTACAAGAGAAATGTAGCAATTCAACCTTATAAACCCAATGTTTGATGTTGATTCTAACCGTTTCTCTTCCCTTGATCTTGAGGATGATCAAGTAACCCGATAACACCAATTCATTCATCGTCTCATGTACTCCTTTACAAGATCTACGTTCTTTAAAGCTCTCACTCGATCAAATCCAACTGTGAATTATCGTATTCCAATATTTCCAAATGATTCACCGTCTCTCACTACTCCTTCGACAAAACCCACTGTTCTTCAAAGCTTTCACTCAATCGAATCTAATATTTGCAAAATGATGTGAAAAACCCCAAATCAACACTATGATATTTGAGGATAAACTCTAGGTTTTTCTAGATGAAACCCCCAAAGGTTCTCAACCCAATACACCAACCTAAATTGGACGTTATCACACAAGTCTAGATGGAACCCAAACAAAAAATGATTATGTGTAGTTTTTGTGTGTGTATGCATAGATGAGAGGTTGAAGATGATGAGAAATATTTGTATGTTTTTATAGTTTCATCAAGTTGAAAATGATGCATGTATGGAGTATTTATATGTGTGTAAGTTGGATGAAAAAAGGGAGACTTAGAAATTGAAACGAAATGCAATTTTTCAGAAAAGCTACAGTATGTATCGACACATATAAGTCATGTTTCAACACATATAATAACATGCGTCAACTTGTTCAAGGTCATGTGTTGATACAAAGAAATAGAGAATTTCAGGCTTTAAAAATGGAGTACATATGTCGACTTGAACATTGTATGTGTTGACACATGGATGAAATTTCTCAGTATGTGTTGACATGAATGGATGAATGTGTCAAAACATAGTTATAAAGGCTACATGATTTATTATTGATCCATATGTGTCGACTCATACATCGTATGTGTCGACACATAGACCTGTTTTTCATGTAAAAACTCATTTTTAATGCATGATACCTTTTCCAAACATGTTCTAAATGGATTCTAAGTACCCTAAGGCAAAGGTGCACTTAATGATTCAGAGATACCGTCTAATATACATAAATTCTAAGGTTATCCTAGTTTTTACATCATGCAAAACATATAATAGGAAAGTTCACTTATATACTCCCCCTTTTTGATGATGGCAAAACTTGCGACGATGCATTTCGCACTCCGTGTCTTCATGAAGGCTTCCCCTGAATATGTGCATCCCATCTTCGTCTTGCATATACTTCTCCCTCTTTGGAAACATCATAAAGAGACAAATAAAAAATAGAAGTATCATTATTCACATAGATACGAATATCACACAAAGGTGTTTTACAAAAGTAAGAACGTGCACTCACATATACCCATATACATGGAGTCACGCAAAGATTTAAACATAAATATCATGAAAATACCAAACAAAATTATAGCAAATTGTTACATATTATCATGATAAGCATAATCATAAACACAAACCATCTTTCCCTTTGATGAAGTCATAAAATTTATTAATACATAAGCCAAAGAAGCAAACCATGAAAGAAACATAAAATGCAAAATGATTCAAAAAACAAAAAATGCATGACATAAATGCATAACCCAAAAGAACCTTAAACAAAAAATTCTAACACTTAAAAGATTCAAAAACCCCGATGATTTATATGACCCCTATGTGGTGGCATGCCACGGTCCATAGATTAGCACAACTACTCATAGAATTGTGACGTCTCCTCATAATTCTGAATTCCAACTGTCATCATGTTATCTATTCTAGTTTGTGTAGTAGCATGATTGATACCCATGTCATTATAGATAGAAGAAAATTATGCAGTGGTAAAGGAGGCAAAAACATCAAAGTTCGTATATTATTCAATCAAGTGCTCTTGAAAAAGCTTGAAGTGTTCGTCTTGAGCATCTTGAAAGTCAGATATCCAACGCAACTCTTCCTTGTAACGCTCATCTTTCTTGACCTTCATATTCTGAAGCATCACAATTATAGTCGACTCATTTCCAGATGCAGTCCTAAATTCATTACATCGAGAACCAGAGCCATGATCTTCATACTCCCTATAGGCATCTCCTTGTTGTGGCAATTGTCTCCAACCTAGATTTTCTTCATGTTGTTGATTTGTTGCAGCATTTACCCATGCTTCATCTTCCTCATAGTTAGCATCAAGCATATTCACATCATCTGGATTAATGCCACCAATTGGTTACTCATTAAACACAGGAGAATTAGAATTTTCCACAAACTCAGCTGGATTATCAAAATCATAGATCTTTCTGGTAGATTCCTTCGAAAGTTAGTAGTACACATTTAAGTTTTTATCCCAAAAATACCTTATGTTGGTCAAGGTGTGTTGGGTGAACTACTGATTCGGTCCCGATGAGATGTATATAAGATTAGGAATCCCAATGTTGAAGTAGTTAGGGATCTTGCAAATCATGGAAACATAACAAAAGAAGTTCCTTTGTTACATTTTTTAATGGTGAACATATGAGAGACAAAATAGTGTGCACAATTGATATTAATCTTGTGAAAGAGGATGTAAACTAGGTGGACTTCAACTTGGTCAACCCTTGAATGCCCATCATTCTTTGGGCGCAAAACATGAGAAGTAAGTCAGTGCAAGATACGAGGAACCTGCTTCAAGTTACCGGTTTTCACGCCATCATGTTTGTTATCAGTCTAGGGGCTTTTAACAATTCATTCATATGAGGTCTCCAATAAAATCTCCATGAAAATTTATATCAGTTACCTTTAGCCAAACATCAACACCAATAACAGTAATATCAAACAACAATGTCCATAATGCATTAGTAAAAGAGTAGTCCTTCCTCTTATTGTGAACTTAAACTTATTTCCTTGACGTTTATGCAACCCGACGTAGAAAACTCGAATAAGACTCTCGTTGTAGTCTTGTGAAAGTTGCAGAAAATATTTAATCTTTTGATGCTCAACATGACTGAAAATTTCTGGAAGATTGAGTTCTTCGACCATTGTGGCTTTGTACACATGTTGCTTCACAACAAGCCTATGTTGGCACTTTTCTTCAAAGACCTCAGATCAACAAAATTAACTGAGGAAAACACATTTTCTGAAACAATTGAGGAGGAACTAGCCTTGCCCTTACCTTTAACATCAATTTTGTTCTTTGCTACTTTTGATGCCATGGTTGAAATGCCAAGCTGAGGAGCTTGCACATAAGGTGTTTGATAAAATGTGTGAATGGAATGGCTTGTTGTTTGAGAGAATTTTGATTACCCACAAACCCTAAATGTGATACGAAGGTATGAAAACACACAAAATGAGAATTAAACATTAAATGTATGATAAATCAAAGCTTAGAGGAATTGGGTGTGATTTAGAAGATGTGAGAGCAAGGGTTTTATGGAAGAGGAAATTTTAGTGGAGATTTAGTGAATTGTTGGTAAATGTAGAGTTGAATGATTTATGGTGGAGGAATTTATGAGCTATAGTGTAGGATTCATTGTGAGCAGAAGTGAATCAAGACATAATTTAACTTGAAGAGGTTTTGTAATGGGTGCGTGAATAGAGAGTCAATTATGGAATAAGAAAAGATAGATCAAAAATCAAATATAAGTGACCATTTGTAGCGCATGCGTCAACTTGAATAGGTCATGAGTCAACACATTCGACTCATGTGTCGACACATATTGAACCAAAATTGAAAAAAATATGAAACTTTAATTGACGAGTTGACACATACTGAACTAAAATTCAAAAAATTGAAACGTTAAAATATGAGTCGACATGTAAGCATTATGTGTCGACACATGAAGTTTAATTTGAGACATAGGATTTTGGTTTGGCTCTAAATGACATGATTGACTCATGCATGAATGCTTATGAAATACACGTATAAATGAATATATTTCA